TTTGATTGTTCTTTCTTTCTCATGCCTTCCCTGCCCATGACTTCATTTACCATCATTGCTATTTGATAACAGCATCTGATAGAATCCAAGTGCTTTCATTTATAAATGTCCGGATGACATTTTCTCATCACGCAAAGGTTGTCAGGTCAGATTTCAGGTCAGATTTCAGAGCCAGGTCCTTAGACCACAGGGGACAGTCCTTGTGATGACACTGGGTGGGTCTTTGTGATGTGTCATAGACAGAGCGGCCAAGGGTTGCAAAATGATGATCAAAGGTCAAAGAGCTGTTCTAAAATGATTATCAATTTTTTGTGTGTGTGTATTACTTTACCACAGAGGAAACTGTATATACTTGAAAGTGGGGCCGGTTCTTCCATTAGACAGAGCGAGGGAGTTGCCTCAGCCAGCAGATGCTGTGAAATGGCAGGAAGGTGGTAGAGACAGGTGCTGTTCAACCTTGCCCTTCTGCCTCCAAACTTCTCTTCTGCTTTTGCATGCACCAGAGGATGCTGCCCCTCTTGTCCATAGTGATCCTGATGAACTCCAAAGAACTGCAATCTTTGGTTGAACATCTCGGTTCTTATGTTATACTGGTCCCTGATAGTCTGTCTGTCTGTCTGTCTATCTGTCTGTCTGTCTGTCTGTCTGTCTGTCTGTCTGTCTGTCTGTCTATCTATGTATCTATCTGTCTGTCTGTCTGTCTGTTTGGTTATGAGATTTATACCCTGCCCATCTAGACACGTCTACTCTGGGCGGCTAACAATTAAAAAATGGAATAAAAACAATATAATAAAGTAAAAAAACAACAACAGTATTAATATAGTTCAAGATGGGAATTATCCCCTGCCCATCTAGACACAAGTCTACTCTGGGCGGCTAACAATTAAAAAATGGAATAAAAACAATATAATAAAGTCAAAAAAACCAACAGTATTAATATAGTTCAAGATGGGAAAAATATTCAAGTGATGACAGGAGGGAAAGCCTGCCTAAAGAGCCAGGTCTTAGATTTGCTTTTAAAAACACCCAGCAAGGGAGCCAGACAGATCTCTGGGAGGAGGCTGTTCCAAAGGTGAGGGGCCACCGCCAAGAAGGCCTGCTTGCTTGTTATTTCTCTTCAGGACTCCCTTGGCATTAGGCCCCTCAGCCGCCCTTCCTGGCTGGAACGAGTGGTTCAGGTAGATTTAGATGGGAGGAGGCGTTCTGCTAGATATCGAGGTCCTAAACCGTTTATGTACCATCTCAGACATTAATCAGCCTGCTTCACTTGCTGAAAAAGATTCATACATCTAAGTTCCATGGGAAGCAAAAGGCTGTGTTGCATAAAGCTCTAGAAACAAAATTGCAGAAGCAATATTCTTGGCACGGCCTGGACTGGACACACGGAGGCACGTTGTTTATTCTGCAGGTTCGGAAAGTATTTATCCCACCAGCTCCTGACAGGGTTGCTTTAGTAATCTAGTCAAATGCAGTTACAATAGTACTGTCACCAGTAAAATCAATGTGTTTAAAGCCCTTTAATGCAAATTCGGGTGGGGGGGGGAGGGAAAGCATAAGAGAATCTGATCATGTTTGCTGTTTGCTTGCTTATGTCCGTCTGTATTTCTGTGTTTCCACCTTTGGCCACAGAGGGGGGAAATACTGAGATTGTACTAACCCTTGTGTTACTCTGCCAGGAGAATCACATCGTGAGGTTGTTACCAGACATTATATTTTTAGATATTTACCTTCATAACTACAATATATAAAGACATTTACACAAATGAAGGTAAATATTTACCTTACCATTTACTTCCAGTAGTTGTTCAAGTGGGGAAGATGAATGAACCCCACTGTTTTTAAATACATTTGGACTTACAGGACTATCGTTCGCCATGACCACTAGACTGCCAGAATCCAGTTTCTTCTGACAGTCTCCTAGGCCCAATTTAAGATGACAAAGTACCACCTTCGCCTGAGCGAAAGATGGTGAAGGAATTTCACCAGCATCTTGTTTATGGCTAATTAGGCTGTCTCAGGACACTGCTAGTCCTTCTCTCCTGAAAATAGTTGAAAATATTCCACATATATTTGTGGCCTTTGACTGTGATTGCAGATACTTTCCCAGGTAAATGAATATAGGAACAGAAAGAACAACCTGTGTTGGAAATGACGCCCTCAGAAGATGCTTATAATAGTAATTTTACCAGTTTCAAAACCTTCCTTAGAAGAAATGACACAGTCAGTTCACCTTTACTGAACATTTCTGTCTTCCTGTCATTTTTGCCCATTAAGAATCTGCACAAGCCTCTCCTCAATTTCCAAGAGTCAATACATGTTTCATTATTACGGCTATGTACTTTACTTCCAAATGAGCAGAGTGCTAACGACAAATGGAATGAAGTCCTATCCAAGGGGGCAGTGGGGGGGGGAAACATGTTTGTTTGAATATATATTTTTTCATCCCATATCCAGCTTGTGGAACAAATGGGGAGGGGGAATCTCCCCCCAAATTGGGACACGGTGCCTCCCCATAGTTGGTCAGTGAGTGACTCTGCTCTTTTGCCCTGAAATGCAGTTCGTCTGCATGGAAGATAAAGTGAACATTTATGTGCAGAAGCAAGTGAATGGGAGAGAAGTCTGCTGAGCCAGGAAGGCTGTTCTGGAAATGGCCTCAGAGGTCTTTCGATGCCCTTTTTATACACGTTAGGAATAATTGATGGAACAACCTTTTGGGTCTGAATCTTCCATTTGGCTGAGGCAAGGAGAGATTATTGTTTAAATAACCCGTGGGGGACTAGATCTTTTGGTGACCCAGATACCATTTTAGGTTTTTATTGCTTTTCATAACTTCCCCAGGCCACAGCCATCTTCTCTGAGGAAAGGCTAGGTGAGTTCTAAGAGGAAAGTAAAAGAAATAAGCAAATAGACAGCACAATACTAATGTACACACAAACTCAGTGTGTGTGTGTGGGGGGGAGTGCTTACTAACTTCTCTTGCTAATATATACTGGCTTTTAAGGATACTGGTTTTATGTCTGATTTCCTTCTGTTATAAATGAAGTGGAAATGCAGAAAGTAATAGAAATAATAATGGTTACAACTCAATTTTTTTTTATCTCTACAGTAAAAGCTGTAGTTTACATAGTTTACTAAGTCTGGTTCTGTCACATGTGTACAGTATGACAGCACATTGCCAGGAGCTAGTGAAATAAAAGTTCCTTTAAAAAAACACCTTGGCATTAGATGAAAAGAGAGTGGAGTGAGCCCCCAAGACTAAGCTCCGTCATAATCACAAGAATACGACCACAGTCGGATGTGTTCTATCTACACAGATATATCCACAGACAGACACACAAACACACCATTTTCTGTCCTTCCTTTGGTCCCACTCCTCCACAATAGAAATAACAATGGTTACAACTCAGTTTTTTTTTTATCTCTACAGTAAAAGCTGTAGTTTACATAGTTTACTAAGTCTGGTTCTGTCACATGTGTACAGTATGACAGCACATTGCCAGGAGCTAGTGAAATAAAAGTTCCTTTAAAAAAACACCTTGGCATTAGATGAAAAGAGAGTGGAGTGAGCCCCCAAGACTAAGCTCCGTCATAATCACAAGAATACGACCACAGTCGGATGTGCTCTAAGTCCACCTTCTCTACTTACACAGATATATCCACAGACAGACACACAAACACACCATTTTCTGTCCTTCCTTTGGTCCCACTCCTCCACAAAAACTAGCACTTTTGACCCTTTTCAAAGAGGGCTTTGCTTTTAAGTTGTGAAGATGGTCTGTGATAATCAGGTAGAGCAACACTTTATCTCTTCCTTTCAGTTTCCATTTCTGTGTCTTGTATCTATGCAGAAACAAGCATTCTGAGTGAACTGTGGGGGTTTCGGGGTGTGTGTGTATCCTTTCCCCCCCCATTCCCTCTTTCTTTTCACTTGTGAAAGATGCTTGACTGACAACCTTGAAATAGGAAGAAGAGAGAGAGAGATCTTTGCCTCTTAGAAGAGCAGATCGCTGATTAAATATGGAAGGTCGGCCATCTTAACATACTGCCCCAAGAAATCCTTCCCCCCCTTTTCCTCTTTCTTTTCACTTGTGAAAGATGCTTGACTGACAACCTTGAAATAGGAAGAAGAGAGAGAGAGATCTTTGCCTCTTAGAAGAGCAGATCGCTGATTAAATATGGAAGGTCGGCCATCTTAACATACTGCCCCAAGAAAGTCCCAGAAGGGTTCACAGCTAGGGATGAGAGGAAATCAATGTTGTTTAATTCTTTTTATATCTGTTTGTTTTGCATCACATCCCAGGCCCCCTCTGACAGCCATCTCTAAATGTACTTGTTTAAATTGCTGAATAAACACACATCCAACAAGAAATGTCACTGTCTTTCTCCTCAGGCTCTCCTCCTTTGATGTCCACCCAGATAATCTCCAGTACTGTGGAATATTTAACAGATGAATATCAGGATGTGCTTTCAGATACACTCTTTCTCATATAAGGGTTATAGTAGAACCCCTGTATCCACAGGGATTGGTTCCATGATCTACTGAGATCTTTGCCTCTTAGCAGAGCAGATCGCTGATTAAATGTGGAAGGTCGGCCATCTTAACATACTGCCTCAAGAAAGTTCCAGAAGGGTTCACAGCTAGGGATGAGAGGAAATCAATGTTGTTTAATTCTTTTTATATCTGTTTGTTTTGCATCACATCCCAGGCCCCCTCTGACAGCCATCTCTAAATGTACTTGTTTAAATTGCTGAATAAACACACATCCAACAAGAAATGTCACTGTCTTTCTCCTCAGGCTCTCCTCCTTTGATGTCCACCCAGATAATCTCCAGTACTGTGGAATATTTAACAGATGAATATCAGGATGTGCTTTCAGATACACTCTTTCTCATATAAGGGTTATAGTAGAACCCCTGTATCCACAGGGATTGGTTCCATGATCTACTGTGGATGCCTGAAACCATGGATACAAGAGAACCCTGTATACAACATAGAAGGGAGCACGCCAGAGGCCACAAGGGGACACCCTTGCATGTTGTAAAGAGAATTGCAGTAAATTATGGATAGATAAAACCACAAATATTGATCTCAAGAGTAAGGTAAAGGTAAAGGTTCCCCTTGACAATTTGTCCAGTCGTGTCCGAATCTAGAGGGCGGTGCTCATTTCCATTTCCAACCCATAGAACTAGCATTTGTCCGCAGACAATCCTCCGTGGTCACGTGGCAAGCGTGACTAGACAGGGAATACCATTTACCTTCCTACCGAGGTGGTACCTATTTATCTACTCTCATTTTTGCATTTTGCATGCTTTTGTACCGCTAGGTTGGCGGAAGCTGGGACAAGCGACGGGGGCTCACTCCGTCGCGTGGATTCAATCTTAAGACTGATCCTAAGAATACTGGGGTCCTACAGTATTTGTACCCTTTTGGTAATCACAGGTTTAGCACTATCACACACATTTCAGAAGATTCTAATCACTCTGCTGTGTCATAGGCACAAACAAGTCTGCCCTGTTCTGATTTCTTCCACGTTCAATGTTTCTTAGATCTCAAATTCTTCCAGTCTGATTTATAAAGAAACACAGAACTTTTGATGAATGGATTAAAAAATGTACCAAGAGAAATTCTAAACAAGGTACATTGACCAATTTCTGTAAGACAGCTGTTGTTCCCTGTAAAGAGAGATGAACAGAAGGCTGTAACTGCCCTCTGTGTAGCTCAGAAAGACAAGGGGCTCAAAACAACAAAGTCCTAAATTAGCAGCATAGACTTTGTGATTGAATACTCAGTGATTTTTTTAAAGAGCCATATGTGTATGCCTTAAGCATTCAAAGCTTACTGACATCACTTTTTCCCACTTTTTTTTCCTTTTGAAATTCAGGTTCATTCTGTCAAGTAAATGCACAATTTTGGCAAATTTTGGAAAGTTCTTAGCGGAAGTGTTCGAAGTGTGGAATTCAAAGTGTTTGAATTTTTCAACCAGCTTTATCTGTGTCCTTGTAGACATAGAATACAGTGTCTATAGTCCAAAATCACTCTAACATCAGGAAAAACTTCCTGGTGGTAAGAGCTGTTTGGCAGTAGAATTGAGTACTTCAGAAAATGGTGGACTCTCTTTCATTGGAGGTTTTTAAACAGACTTTTAAACAAGTGGCCGTGGGTGGGGAATGTCCTTGCTATGCATTTTCTGCAGGCCTGGGAGTGAAATAAGTGACCTTGGTCTCACTTTGAATCCTAGAATTCTGTGAATCTAACAGCTATTTTTGGAGGGAAGAGGTAGTAATGTCTCCCTCACTGGAAGTATTTAAGCAGAGGCCAGATGGATTCAGTGCTTAACAACTTTATTACATTTTGAATGGTGACTTAGCTATACCATTGTTACTCTAAAGTTACTAGTTACAGTGAATTATTTTAGTCTACATCCTATTGCTATTTAGCACTAATGGAGTGACACTGGCCAAAGCAGCTATTTGCCAAAATACTACTGGGCACAACAGCCACTTCCACATCAATGTGTATTGGTCCACACGTGCTAAGTATTCACTATTATTGCCCATTATTGATTTCCAAACTCTGATTTTAAAATTTGTATATTGAAATAAAGTATGGTAGGATTGTCTTATCCACTGAATCAGTATCCACTAATTCTATGGTCTGAAAATATAAAAAATTATAATTAAATAATAATAATAAAGCCACCCTATTTTCACATGCATTACCAGAACTGACCACTACAGAGAGCCAGAGACTGTACTATGTATATATTCATTAGTGAAGAATACAAGGCATGGTCTCTGGCACCCTCTTGTGGCCAATTCTGATAATGCATGTACAATTTTTTTTGTTGGTCCCCTTTCCCCCCCACCACCACCTTACCATGCTATTGTCCACAGCTTTCAGTATCCATGTGGAGGTTTGGAACCAATCCCCAGTGGATATGGGGATCTACTGTATGTTCAGAAATACCTATCTGAATGGAAATGTCTGTGTCATTTGAAACAGAAAGGAAAAGAGAGAATGAGAGTGAACTGTTCATGGAGAAACCGGACAAAATAAACTTATAGGTAACACATATATAAGTGTCCCAACGTTGAAATAAATCAGTTTGCTCATCCATGTTTTAAGGTAACCAGTTCCAATTCCTGTTCTGGACACACCTCTTTTTGGTTAGAGGGGGTGAAGTTACAACACAAAGGATAAGAAGAAAGCAGTCGGAGGGGAAGAGCCTATCTTGTTAACCAAAATGCCCCTATCTTGTTTTTCCAAACTGATAAAATTAAAATGACTGTGGAGGAGATGATCGCTTTGAAAAAGGAAGAGTCTGCAATCAAAAGACACGGTGGGTAAGATGATGTAGGAGAGACAACATCTAAGATCTGTTGTGTAACTTTGCACTTGGTCTAGCTCAGATCGAGTGCCAGAAACATATACAGTGGTGCCTCGCTTAACGACATTAATTTGTTCCAGAGAAATCGCTGTAGAACGAAAACATTGTAAAGCAAAAATAAAAAAACCCATTAAAACACATTAAAACCCGGTTAATGCATTCCAGTGGGCTAAAAACTCACTGTCCAGTGAAGATCATCCATACGGTGGCCATTTTCAGTGCCTGTATAGCGAGGACTCCATCCCTAAGCACAGTGGGGAGCCATTTTGAGCACCCGGCGGCCATTTTGAAAACCCAACCATCAGCTGTTTTGATCATTGTAATGCGAAGAATCGGTTCCCAAAGCAGGGAACAGATGTTCACAAAGCGAAAAAGCCCCATTTAAAACATTGTTTTGTGATCACAATTGCAACTGCAAAAACATAGTCGTGAAGCAGATTCGTGTTAATGCGGGGTAATCGTTAAGTGGGGCACCCGCTGTAATTCACACTAATGGAAAGGTTCCAGTTCCAAGCCTCCCTCATGCCCTCTCTTTCCCTGGGGAAGCCTTTGGGAGCTTCAGGGTGGTGGCAGTGATGGTGTGGAAGCCTGTGAACAAAAATCACAATTGAATCACCACAGCCAGGAATGGGACCACAGTGGTCAAACCAGTGGTCATTTTTTTAAAAAAACTATTAAAGGCTCCCCATCTCCTTTCTGATGCTCGGAAGCTAAACATGACAAGGGAGAGAGAGAGAGATAGGAAGCCTTCGATCAGTGTAAGTTAAATGTTTCCAGCATCACATCCAATTTGTGCCAGGTGCAAAGTTACACAACAGGATTTTGCCCACTAAGGTCATTCTTTAGTGAACAGGAATGCTTGGAGGGAGCATATGCACTTGTCTTGTGGACGAAATAATAATCAGTGCTCTGGAAGAAGTTTGCTTCACACAGAGAGGGCCAGTATTCCATCCAAGAGCCTGGGGCGTTCCTTTAAATGGACTTTGCACAACCAAACTGCATTTTTTGAACCTGCTGGATGTGTACTGGCTTCTCTTCAATTATCAGCACCGCATAAATGCGAGGTCTTTGTGCCAATAGCTACAGCTTGAAATTCAAGGAAGGGCTAGGAATATGTTGCTGAGAACCTGAGGATCTGACCAGGTACGTTAATATGCATAAACAGACTGCTTCTAAAAATGTGTTGACACAGTATATTACATGGCATAGGCCACCTGCTCTTTGTTAAAACAAAAAATCCCCCAAAGCGACATTCTGAAGTGTGTGGTCTCTGTATTTCTCAGGGAAAAACAACTATTTGAGCATTAAGATGAGCAACATTTATCAAAATGGTTTTATACCTTCCTATACTTTTTACTTGTGGCTACCGATGTTCAAAGTAGTTTGACAGAAGCCATTCTTATTCATCCACCCTCCTTTCCTCATGCGCACCCCAGGCAGAGTGTTGCTACCATGTACTGTATTCTGTGTCAGTACCATGCCAAAGTCTGTCCACAAGTTTCCCAATTTCATTTTAATTTCTCTGCTTACTTTTGCATGATTTGAGATTTATCCACTACTCTCAAGTCTCCCTAGCCCCCGACTCATCCTGATCAGGGAAGACATGGGAAATTACCTTATGACATCCCTTGGTCATTAATGTAGTGGCGGGAAAACTAGGCTGAATGTAGATAAAATATGACTGCATAATAAAAGATAGGTTGCAACTCTTGCTTACCTCATAACTAACATCTCCCTCATGTGAGAATTTCACCAAATTGTGTTGTTCCTTCCTTCTAGGAAAGACTGGTTTCTGTCAGATTAAATGAAAATGCTTGAGGGGGAAAAGATGGATAAAATTAACTAAATTTAACACTCCATTACTCATATATTCTCCTGCTGAGGTAAAATAAATCCCATTGTCAATGATGCCGCGGGTCAGAGGGGGTGTACATCTCCTACCGGGGCCGCTTCTCCTCCTCTTGAACTTCCGTGACAGAGTTTCCTCATCAGTAGGATGGAAAACTAGAAAGTTCACTGAAATGTCCCCCTCCTCACATTCATTTCCCGATTTGTTTGGAGGGGAAAGGGGGGGGGATTTCAGCTATCTTCAGGGAACAGAGTGAATTTCTCGGGGGGCCTGTTCCTGCTCTAAAGTGTACCACTGCCAATTTTAATTTTTATTTCCCACAATGCATGGAGCAATGCTCTGTCACAATATGGCATCACTCGGGGGGAGGGGAATTGGCAGTGGTGGATGGAGTGCTTGAAATAGCACTACACATTGACACAGTTCATTTGTGAGTATTTTCGAGACGTAAAGATGACAGCCAAGAGCATGGGGGCAGCAGGAAAAAGGAGGGGAAAAACAGCGTCATGCCCATCATTTCTGATAACGAGAGAGTACAAATAAGAGGCATATTTTTTGTGGACAATCAATGATAACTTCTTCCATCATGTGAATTCTAGCTTCCTGCTTCCATATGGAGCAGATTTTCAATTACTGGATTTTATTAAATGCTTTGTGAGAATGACCTTTCTGTTCTTTTCCTGCTCAGTGCTGGGGGCTATAGGTAGAGAGCAGTGGCATAATCTTTGTTATACTTTGTCGTCTAAGAACTGGAAAAGGCTAGGTTCCTTCTATTTCCCACAGACTTAACAAACCTAGAAGCAACATGCACTGCCTGTAAATCACAGTCCCTGATGTTATCTACTCTTTCATGCCAGAAGGGAGCTCTGAAACCTGCCAAGTCAGTCCTACTGTTTGGCAGAATGAGGTGGTGGCTTTAGACGGTAGGGCAGCACATTGTTAAGTCATCTGCTTTTCACTATTTTCTGTCTCTGGAAGTTGAGTCGTGGCAACCGGACTTCTTATTAGGTTCAAACATTTCACTATTCATCCAAGTAGCTTCTTCAGACTGAAGATACTTGGATGAGTAGCAAAACATTTCAACCTAATAGGAAAGAAGTCCAGAAGTCCAGTTGTCATGACTCAATGTTCAGATAACCTCACCAGGGTGACTGAGGATCTTCCCAGATACATTTTTTTTTCTGTCTCCTGCACATCAGAGAGAGGTTCTTATGGGATTTTCTATCTCATGTGCCAACACACACATCTTGATTTGGGTTACTGTCTTACCTCAGGCAACAACACATCTTGAGCCATCCCTCCTAACTCAGTTAGCTCATTAGAATACATCTAAGCCTTAAAGCATGATGTTTTGGGTTCAAGCTGTAGCATTATCATCTCTAAGTCAGTTTGAGGAAATGGATTACCTTGGATTATGATGATTTATGCTTATGCTGTATTGCAGCAGCCTTCTTCAGAAATGGTGCTGTCTGTATTAGGAGTGTGAAAAAAGATGCACTGTCTTCATTCTAGTCAATTTAGGGTGTCTTGATGAAATAAGAGCTAATCCCGTATGCACCTCAGTATGAAATTTTCAAACTCTGAGGTTCTCCATCTACAGGCAAGATGTAGATAAAGGATGCTACTTCCTTTTGCTAAGGTCCCCATTATTTGTGCAAATTGTGGCTATGTAAACGTGGTGTGTCCTTTCTCCTTGGGAAGCAAAACACACACAGAGAGAGAGAGAGAGAGAGAGAGAGAGAGAGAGTTCAAAAGAAAATACAGGCCCCCTTGCATGCTTCTAATCCTTTAAAAAACTATGCAAAAATGTAGCCACCATCATTAAGTCCAAAAAAAAATGTTCTCCTAAAAACAACTGCGAATGATCTTGCCCTCTCGGAGGCAAGGAGAATAATTTTGAAGACCCTTGTCCTCACATGGGACAAAGGAAATGGAAATATGCATGTTACATTTGCCTATTGATGAGATACTGATGATCCCATCATCCTCATTTGGGCCATGATGCTTAGGAATCATGGAGGTAGTAGTCCAAAACATCTAGACAATACTGCTTTGGGGAGGGCTGTGTTAATATACATCCAAAATGAGGCCTGGTCCTACAGGGACAACACCTACACACCCACACATACACAATTGTGTTTGGCAGTTTGACATCTTCAGTTTCACTGAGTTTACAGGTTTCTGCTGTTCTGTGGAACATTCAGTATTTTTGCAAATTTTCTTTTGCAAAGAGAAACACTGATTCCAGTGGCATTTTAATGAGAAAGCATTGATGGAGCCATCCCACAAAGTATAAATAACTCTGGCTTCCTCTGTTTACTGTGATCTAATTGTGTATTTGGTACCGCACCTTCTGAGCAGGTTTAGCGACTTGCTTGCATTTTTGTGTCCCCCTGGTGCTTCACCAGCTTAATAATGCAAGACGGTAGGCAGTTTAATTACAGAAAACTGTAGCATAATTAATGACATTGTAACGGTGAATAAATTACAGTGTTCTGTTATGTATAGCTCACCAGGGCAATTGCAGGAGGAGGGAGAAGTGGGGAAGAAAGCAAGGATAAAAGAGCAGAAATGATGAAGCGGCAGTTTAGTGCAGGACTTGTGGAGGAAGGTGGCAGCTGCAATATTAAATGCAAAGGCTTGGCTTGGCTTGGCTGGGCTGATGGGGAGAAAGAGAGGCAGGTGCTAGAAGAACAAAGTAAATGGGCCATGGAATTGCCTGTCCCTGACATCATTTACTTGCCTCCATTAACTCAAGTGGTCGGGAGTTTTGTGATGTGTTGCTTAGCCCCAGTATGTTGTGGATCTGGATTGGCAACCTGTTATCCACCACTCATTTGCGGCTGTAATTAGAGAGTGATGGATAAGAAGCCACCTCATCCCCAGTCCTTCCTGTCCTTCTCTGTTCTGATGGGCAGGGACTCTCTACACCAAATGGTTCCCAACCTTGGACCTCCAGATGTTCTTGGACTGCATTTCCCAGACGCCTTCCCCACTAGCTGCGCTGGCCAAGATTTCTGGGAACTGTAGTCCAAGAACGTCCGGGGACCCAAGGTTGGGAACACAGTGCTTTAGGGTCTCTGTCATTTGTTTTCCAGGCCTGCCACATAAGGCCATTTAATTGAAAGCCGCCTGGCATCAAATGAATATGTCCATAAATGCCAAGCTGTACTGCAGCAGCCTGAGCAACTGCGATCATCTCAATGTTTTTACTTACAATTCCCCCCCACACACACACAAAAATGTAACATGAAAGATCTGGAACAGAGGTGCTTCTCCTCCCTGTTAATGTTGCTGGGCTCCACCCCATGGCCACCCTCAAAACAAACAAATACTGATGATCCAGTATGTTTCTACTCATTTGTCTGAAGACAGTGCTTCCCTGCTAATTCCATAATAATTATTGCAAGCTTCTAAACTGGCACCTCATGTAGCAGTCTGTGGTTTAACTAACCCACAAGATTGTTAATTTAAAATGCAGAGTCTACAGTCTGAGTTTGCTAGCTGACTTTTTGTTCTGTTTCATTCATATTTATAAAAACATATGTTTTCCTGCTCTGGCTTCAATTCCACCCCATCTGCATTCTCACACATTAATCAACGGTACCACTTTCCTCTACAGCCTTCATTATCTAGTTTGTGTTTGTCATTTTTTTTAAAAAAGACAGAAAAAGAATGTGGAGAGAAAACATAATTAGATGTCATTCTGTTTAAATAATACCTTTGAAAACAACTTAGCAACTTATGAAATGGAGAAATGGAAAAGGAGCAATTTGGAACTAATGGCCAAGTTAAGGGAAGCTAGTTTGGGTTTTTATTGTTGTTGTTTTAAAGTCAAGGTTTTTCCCCCTCTCCATTCCTTGAAGCAATTCATGACAAATCTAGAGTACAGGTGGATAAATGATTAGACATTTTATTCCCCCAACCACACTCAAAAATGAAATATTTCTATAATATTAAACCCGTCAAATTGATCAAAGTGCAGTGTCAAAAGATATTGTAAGTGCTTCTTCTCATCAGGTCCCCAGGATGATTGCAAACCTGAGCATTTTTTGTAATTTATATATATATATCTTTTTTCAAGAAAAGGACTGTAGATTTCTAATACTCAATGCACATAAACATGAATCACAAAATGAGCCTGCTGTCTTTTGCTGACTCCTCTCTCTCTCTCTCTCTCTCTCTCTCTCTCTCTGTTGATGCATCAACAACTCAAAGTTGTGCTTTGGTCGACACAGATTAATATTTGGGTTTGGGAGGGTGCAGTCTAATATCCATCACTACTATGGGCTAGGTGCCCCAATCCATCGTTCTTTATTGCTCTAATGATTTGCACTGTGGAGTAATTGATGTTGTTGTCCCTTGACACTTGGATTCTCCAGATTTTATTGTTTCTCCTTTCTGTCAGGGCTACTCATGAGCCCTCTCTCAGCAGACAAGATATGGCAAAAGTAAGGAAATGCTATTCTGTTCTTCTCTGGCCACTTGGGCTGATTATGGAGGGAGACAAAGAAAAAGAGAGCTAGTTTGGGTCTTGCTTTTAGTGACAATGGCAAGGAGGTGGATGCATTCCACTGCTAAGGGACTCTCCAAAATCTGGAATTTGATTTCTGACTCCTGAGGTTTCCTAACTAGGGAAGTAAATATTTGCTCATTTTATTTTCTCACATGCAAAAAAAAAAAAAAAAAAAAAAGTCCTGAGGTTTCCTAACTAGGGAAGTAAACATATGCTCATTTTATTTTCTCACATGCAAACAAAAAAAATCAAACATTTCCTTCTAGCTGGGCAAGATTACAGTAGTTTAGAGGCTTTGATTTTCTAACATTTTGGGTTTTATTTGCATGCAATAATTTCAAAAAACAATCTTTGTTTTATTGCCTAACTCTCTCCCACTTTGAATGTTATTCTTCTTTTCCGTTCTCTTGTTAATGCTGTTGCAGCTATAAAATATTGGCCCTCTTGTTTGTATATATTGGTAGGTGGAAAACTGATAACACTATGTTGGACATTTGTTAATATGTACATATTTGACAATGGACATGATGAAGGTATAAAGTTCCGGTACAAAGGATTTAATAAATCTGGGAGGAGCCTCGTGGTGCAGTGGTTAAACTTCTGTACAGCAGCCAAAACTGTGCTCACGACGTGGGGTTCAATCCCCGGTAGCAGCTCAAGGTTGACTCAGCCTTCAATCCTTCCGAGGTCGGTCAAATGAGTACTCAGTTCAATGGGTGGGGGGTGTAGCTTGCTTAATTAACTTGTAAACCAACGGGGCGGGGGGATGTGTAGCTTGCTTAATTAACTTGTAAACCACCCAGAGAGTGCTTTAAGCGCTGTGGGTGGTATATAAGCTGCACACTTTACTTTTGCTCTTGTGCAAACAGATATCTTAGTGTTTGGCAACGTTGTCATTAAGGATGAGGAAACCTGAGTGTATTCCTTATGTCCTGTTCCACTGAACTCAATTTCTGGCTCTGGAAATAAAAAAGTTATCTGTGCTCATAAGCGCTGCAGCGGGCAATTTCATGGTGAAGGTGTTATTTGTGAACATCTGATAAATATTGTATGACATTTGCAGATGAAATGATAAATGAGAACCTGAGTCTTCCAACTCTGTAGTTAAAAGTGTTCCAAGGAATACATTACCTGATAGAGACTTCTCCTCGAAGGTTCTATTCTCTTCTGCTGGCTCATAAGTGGAAGAACAGGAGAGATACAAAGAGCTCAGGTGAGCATATTGCTTTCTACTTGTCTTGATGTGGACCTCTTCTTGTAATGAGTGCTATCAGATCTTCCATTACACAGACCAGCACAGAGACACAGACACACACATCCATAACCTATTTGGTACCCAAAAGTATGTGTTGAGACTAGAGAGTTTACAACCTCCAGTTGATGTTGAACTCTCACTAGTCTTCAACAGCTTGTGTTGAACAGAAATTTGTCAACATCTGGAAAGCCGGATATTTCGAATCCCTTATGTGGAGGATGTGTGACCACGCAGTCTGTGTGGCTATGCATACTGGCCCTGCCCTGATATTCCTACCACATGCAGTGGCTTTTTTTAAAATCATATCCTGATTTCTGTCATTAAGTAAGAATATGTGAAGATGGAGTTTACGTATATATGGATGTCTATAAACTATCCCACCTTTTATGAACCCTGTTTATAAACTGTCTTGGTCACAGGTTTGGTTAAGTGTACAGTATTTAGATGCACATTTCCTTCAAGCCTTCAGTTTATGATTAAGAATGAAGAAAGAGGATCTGGTGAGTGTAAGAAAGTTTTTTTGTGGGGTCTCCACATTTTAGGTTTTCATGCATTTGTCTGAAAATCGTAATAGACATTTCATCTTTCATCTGCAGCAGAAGGGACATGGGTTGAGCACATCTGGTCTAAGGTTATTTCTCAGCTGAAGATAGAAGGAAGAGATGTTCTTCTCCAACCACAATTAAAATGGGGTCATGATGATTTAAAATAACACTAGATGAGTCTCAATGAACTCTAGATTCTTCTCCAGCCTCTGGCTCATCTAGTTCTTCTATGTCAAGAATTGCAAGTCACCGTTGTTCATATTTTCCAATAAAGAAGTTGAGCAATATCTCCAACAGAATGATTTATCTTTATCCACAAAGAAATTTACATGAACAATATGATTCTCCTGCTCCATGTGGACCTTTGAAGACAGGTCTACAAACATGAAGAAAGATTCCAGCCCACTGTTTTCCTAGATCCACCTCTACAAATGCATAATGATAGTGCACAAAGAGCAGCATTTTCTCTGTGGAGGAAAATTATGACTTTAAAATTAATGAGTTTGTTTTTGGAATGCCAGATCCATTGCATCTATAAGCTCAGCTTCATCTTGCAGATGTTTGCTGTAAATATTTGCCCGTCTTCAGAAATGAGGAAACTGAGCCGTTAGGCATTGGAGTGTTTTGCTAAAACTCATTATATTAGTCTGGCAAACTGGTCCTGACATCAGTTTAGAGTTCTGTTCACTACACGTGTCCTGTGAAATAAATAAAAGTATCTATGATAGAAAAGGAAAATTGCCAAGGTGTTGGGTGGGGAGGAGCAACAATCAAACTCGTTCCTCCAATTTTATTGCTTACCAAATTAGAAGCAATTCAGGGCTTTAAGGATTAAGTATCATTAATTACTGCCCAACAAATACTGAACTACAATAAAGCACTTGTGGAAATCAAGAGGACTTCTGCATGAATGCTAAATGGCTTCATTAATGTTCAGTGCAATTTCATTGAGTGATAAATTAATTTGCCTGATGCTCTAAGAATTACCAAATGGAACAGCAGACCAAAAAAAAATGCATTGACAACAAAAAGGAGAGATTGCTCTGTTCTCTAACATGCTCAGTAACTCATGCAGGCATGATGGGCTGTCAAAGCCTTGCCAGTTGGATGGCCAGGCTTACATATAGAATAACAACTCATTTGAGTTGTTCCAAATAAATAAAGCAAGAATGAGCCCTTCTTGATGTGATCCATGATACCAAATAATGACACTGGAGTATAGATAAAACTTAGACAATCAGTAACAAGTACAGCATTCCTAGTGTGAAGCTGCAGATTACCGAATTTTTCTGTGTATAAGACTATACCTTTGTCTAAAATCTTTAGACTAAAAATTGAGGGTCGTCTTTATACGTGGAAGTAAGCTGACGAGAGAACAAAAACAAGTCGAGGGGAAAGCAGGGATCAAAGTGATCCTGCAGTGCTTTGATCTCTTTTCCCCTACACTTGCTAAGCCCCACTTATTTTTCTTAATTTTTGATTAGAAAAGTGGGGGGCGTCTTATACACTGAAAAATATGGTAACCATTAACCAAAATAAGCACGTGCTGAGGAGGTCAACAAGGGAAGGGGAAACCACAGAGTGTTTTTCAGTGCTGGATTTACACATGGACCATGTTGCAAAAGGTGTGCCCTCCTTAACAAACAGCATCCATCCATCCCCCTCAGCTGTCTCCCTCCTTCCCTCAAGAGCCCCAAGACAACCATCTCCCTACCTAAAGCAACCAAGTACGAACCAGTAAAAACTAAAAAGTCTAAAGACTCGCCTAGGAAGTCATCATCATTGCTTGACTGTTTTTGTTGTTCGTTTTGTTTTTCTTTGTTTTTTACTTCTGTATTTTGGGAGGTTAAGTAGAAATAAGGATAAAAAGAGCTGCTGCTCTTTTAGACCACCTCTGAACTTTATGTGCAAGCCAAAAAATAAAAGCCACTCTTAAAAATACCCCAAAAGGCATTTTAAACTCTTGTTTGAGCTTTTCAGTTTCCTTTACTGGAAGCCAAAAATTGGATTTTACAGATGATTTTGCATACGATACGGGGTTCTTTTCTGTCACATGCTATACAATTGAATTACCATATTTTTATCCATATAATGTGTACGTTATGTGTTTTTTCCCCTAAGTCATGGGACCCACTACACACTATATTTGTAGGGGCACCATAATCTTGTCAGTGCTTAGGGCTTCTAAAGGTCTTAATCCAGCCCTGCCTATCTGTATATAAAAGTCGCATGATGGCTGCTTTTACCCCAGTCAATGTGCTCCATTAATGGTAGCTCATCCACTAGGTCAGGTGGGACACTGTTCTACCTCAAGCTTAGGAACCACTAGCCCACTCTTGCCCATCTCATCCAATGAGCCTCTGTATGTATGTATGTGTGAATGCATACCTCTCTCTCTCTCTTGCTTGCTTGCTCTGTGTGTGTGTTTGTGTGTGTGTGTATAAATACCTAGTTCTGCCCTAGCCACCACTGGTTGCTCTGTCCTCCACATCATCAACTATTTTGGATATTAGCCACCACTGGTGCCTGCCTTGAGACAATTAGTGAAATGTCATAGGGCACAGACCTCATTTGGTGAAAATAGTCATCAAATGTGGACTCTTTGTTGTTCATCTCCACTCAGTTCTTCCCAGATTCATTAGATCATGAAGATCCCAGGTCTCCCTACATTCATGTTTTTATAGGATGGTGCATGAGAAGACTTCATAAAGTGACACTCCACCATCATTTCTTCACTCACTTCTGTCTGCTGTTCCCCAATGAGTACTAGAATCATCTTACAGGCCAACGATGCACAGGAACAAAATTTAGTCAATGGGAAAATACTTCAAGGATATGTATGTTGACCCAAAAGATGTCTACTGTGATTTGGACTTTATGAATAATGCATACAAATTTCCTTTGGGAAAGAAAACACAAAGTGTTCCAGTCTGATACAAAAGGTGGGAGAAGAGTGCGAGTGTGACTGGGAGAAAGGCATCAGGACTGAGGTGGAATTTTACACATCCCTGACTATACAGGAAGCTTTTAGGTATAAAAGATCAAATGGTATTGCAATTAATTTGTGTAATACCTGTTCAAGTCAAGATAAAATCTCCTGTTTGCATGACAGTAGGATCTTTTTTCCACCTGTCATTTCACACTCTTCCTCCGTGTGAATTCCCCACCTATTTTCAAGGAATCAGACCTTCCCAAAGAACATAATTTTTAAGCTTCTGTTGAAGCATGGAGTCATTTAAGCATGACACAAGTTGGTTCTCTTGCCCTCCAATACCCACCTGCCATCTCTACAGCTCTGTTTTCTATATTTCCTCTTCATGCATGCTCATACTTGAATTCCAGCAGGATTTTACTCAATGTAGGAGACATTTTAGTCTTTAACTTCTTTGTTGTCAAGTAGATCTTCTTTGCCAGTTAGGTTCCTGACGTCTGTTTTAAATTTGAACAAAACATCAGCTCTGATAGGTCTGAGAGATTTTGGCAGAGGCGTTTAGTCTCTCCACGAAATTTTCCTCTTCCCCGAACTCCTCTATTATCTCTTTACCATTTTTGTCATTTGCTTGTCTTCTCCATGGCCTTTGAGACATGCCTCTTTGCCCTGGAATTTGCTGTTAGTTTCGTCTCACTGTACCACAAATTTATTTGGTATTCTTTTTTTAAAGGAGGAGAATCTTTCTCGACCTTGGTTTGTTAAGCTTGTACAATTGAATTCAAGCAGTACATTGCAGAATTTTATTTATTTTTTTAGCCATTTCTACCACCAGCAGCACCATCCTTCTTCACTGGGCAGCAAGAACTTGTCAGTAGCTTCTTGTTTTCAATATTTATATGTCCCAATGTCGACTGTATTATCAGGCTCCAGTACAGCTATTAATCCTTTAGAATTTGTATTACTATAATACCCATGTGCTGCCAAGTCAATTCTGACCAATGACAAACTTTTTTTTAGGACCTTCCAGGTAGAGACTACTCAGAAGTGGTTTACTATTCCATTCTTCTGGGGGCAATTCTGAGACTAAAGAAGGGAGTAGTAATTCAGCATTCTCACTGGAGTAATTCAGCACTCTCACTGGAAGGTTTGAGGTACAGGTGATCTTGGTGGCAGTGTTTATCACCTTATGCGTCAACATATGCCCTGATTTAGACAGGGACAGTTTATCTACATCCATGCTCTGCCTTCTATTCTGTTTCTGCATCCATCTTGAATCAGACATATCAACTTTCAAAGCCTTATTAGCTTGTGGGCCAGGTTACATGAAGGACCATCTCCTTCCATATACACCTGTCCATACCTGAAGATCGTCTTCTGAAATGAGGAAAGGTAGCTACCAAGAGGAAGTCCTTTTCAGTGAGAAATAGAGGGATAGAATATGCACAGAAAAGTGGTTTCCAACCTCGAGTAACTGGAGGTGTTCTTGGACTGCAGAAACCCTGTCCAGCACAGCTAGTGGTGAAGGTACCCCAAGATTGGGGAACCATAGTACTAAATGAAGAACTTGTTATTTAGATTCTCCTAGGCTTTTTAGTTCTTTGTAAAACCAACAGTTGATAGCTTTTATTATTTTGATTGTATCCTGTAGTTTCAGACTTCCTGGGGGGTGTGTGTCCGTGTGTGTTCCTTTCCCTTTTTCTATTTCTCTATCTCTATTCTTTTAGCTTGCAAACCATCCAGAGAGCTTTGAAGATAAGGCTGTAGTAACTGTAATAAATAAAATAAAGCTCACAGACATAAAATTCTGTTCTACATAATGAAGGGCATTGTCCATATTATTGTAATTATGACTGTGCACGTATCTGTAGCAATAGCCTAAGTGCATTCGTGACATTGAAAGCATAAAAAAAGTCTCCTTTCCCCACGGCTCCCAGCATCTCCCAGCTAGCATGGATTCTGGGATCTGTAGTCCACTTCCTCTTCACCCACCCTAGTCCACTCTGAACTTTGGCAACACCAAAGCAATCCTCCGTCTGTCCCATGTTACTCCAGCTTGTGTGCAAAGCAAGAAGCTTGCCTTTCTATTAGTCCCTTCAGTTTAGAAAGTACCATCTTTCCTTGACAGCTTGGTTAACAGCTGCTTACTAGTTTATTTATCCCCCTGTAATTGTCAGGGGAGGATAGTTTCAACCGCATGCCACATCTCGTTGACAGCAACCACCTGAAAAGTTAAGGATGAGAATGAAAGGGGACGAACCAAATCAGGTTGTGAAGGAGTGTGGCAGGGAGGGGTGTACGGAGTTAATGCATGATGGGAAGAACTCATGGAGTCAACAACAGTCATACAATATTCA